CCCCAAAACCCCAAAACCCCAAAACCCCTTTATTAGGATATGTTATTGAATGAAATGCATTTGATGTCTAGAAATTTACTTATTTGAGCAATTTTTCATGAAGATATGCTAGTTTAGTTAGAAGTTTATGAGAGGGTTCTAAGCCGAATATAAGCCTGGAAGCATTCCTGGTCATTGTTCCTATTATTAAGACCATCCTCCAGAGCTGTATTGTTTAAAACCTCCTTTATTCTGAGATTGAGAGTTTAGAGTAGGAAAATTTTGTAAAAATTAATTTAATAAATTTCTGAATAAAAATGAGAGATCTCACATTTTTATTAGAGCCTAGCTTCGTCGCAAGAGAGTGACTTTTTAAGAAAAAATTGTACTGAGCATGATATTTTGCGGTTTCGAAGCTTCTCTAGAGTCCTTAGAATTAGATATGCCCATTTGCCATTGTAATGGGTAGATGTCTTGTCAAAGATATATGAAAAATGCCGACGAGGCCAAAGGAAAAGTTGGATTAAATAACTTACTGAAGACTCTGGCATATCCCAACAAATATGCAGATTTAATAAAAATTCAAAAATATCAAGATTCTCCTATTTTGAGCTTTAATTTGGAGATGAAGATTGTTTGAACTTGTCTTGAGTTACAAATCATAATTAAGAGCAGGAGCAACCTCAATCTGGTTGCCTTTTAATATTTAAGCCTTACCCTCGCACATAAACATTATTAAAAGTAGATCGGCAAGTCAAAGACATGATCGAAAACCATCTTGTGAATATCTATAGCATAATTCTGTCTTCTTCCAGTAAATGGGATCGAAGAAGTTTAGAAACAATAAATTTTCCAAAGGAAATGAGACAGCCCTGTAAACTCACTCAAAGTTGAATTATTTGGCTTAAAGCTTCATTTCATTAAATTCATACTTATTGTATTAGCAATAAGGCTTGCCTTAGTATTGTCTTATTCAAATATGGTCACAGCTTATATTAACTGTGAGTTCTTTAGAAATACTGCTTTCATAAACTATGAGAATACTTCAGAAGGGTTAGGAGGATGCAGATACTCGGGTTCTTACCTTGCTTTAAGAGAATTTTTTCGCGATCGACTCATGAGCAGAAGTTGCCCATGTCTTAGCATAATTCTTCACTGAATTCTTAACTAAATCTCTAATAATTTTTCTATAAAATGGAGAATAATTCTTGATGAAAATAACTAATTTCAAGGTTATGCTCACAAAAAGTGTTACTAAATAATATTTCTGATTATCCCACAGGTATCGAACCCAAAATATTGATCAGCGATACTTGTTTTTCACTAATTTTTTTGACTCGGGGTAATGATCATCTGAGATCACGACTTACTCTGCTACAGTTGCTACAGATATGGAAACATCAAAAAGACTAGTGTCAAGCTTGGTATTAACACTTGATGACTTTGAGATTTCTAAGTCCGAATTTTCGAATTCCAGTGCTGATAATTCAGCTAACGATTGAATATGTCACAGTAAATTTTATTCATACCTATATGAAAAGTATGAGGCGGTCACTGATTCTTGGTTAATTTGAACTTATTCCAATGAATTTTAGTAAGGAGCTCCCATACCTGATTCTTCTAAATCCTGCTCTTTCTGGTTAATATTACAAAGCTCCAAATCATGAGGAATGGAAAGGGAAATATTTAAAAAAGCAGAACAGAAAAACTTCACCAAGATATTCGACTAAATTACTCGTATCTAAATTAGCTAAAAAGTTGGGAACTGGCTTCTAAACATTGAAAGAGTTTACATTATGACTTCAGAAAGTTCTTTGCCTGCTCGAGAAATGTCCAACATAAGCATCCACTTCTGTCATCATTAATGTATTCGTTATCCTCGAGAGATGAATTCTTGCTAAGATATATGAAAATGTTAATGGTGAGGAAACATTCTGAGGAATCTGTAGTCTTTGAGGTTTGTGGTACATCTAGAACTAGTCAACTCAGTATTAATAATCTTGACTCATTGTTCCCTTTATATATCCAGACATCAATACTGGCCTAAAAAATAAGAAGGAGTCTGCCCAACTTTCGGTTCTGAAGTTTAGTAATAATTTAAGCTTCTTTAACTAATTCTTCATGTGAAATACTTTGAAAATCCCAACAAAAAGCTTTAAGGAGTAAGCTATACTATTTGAACTAGCTTAAATTAAAGGAAATCTGTTTACTCACCTCTGAGTTTTATCGACTTTGTAGAAGACATCATAAAAATTCAAAATTTTTAAATGAAAAGCAATATGTCGGAAATCACGATGAAATATATCAGAAGATAAACTTGGCAGGAAAGACTTAATATATCCTAAAATATGTTAATTTACTAATCAGGAGTCCTTTTCTTCGTTTCTATTGGACCTTAGGAACTGGGATTATTTGAAATTTTAATTACAACCAGGAAATCCAAAATCTGAGGATACGCAGGAGTGCACTATTTAAAAATTCAGATTTAATTATCATAATATTAATAATGAATAGTCTATGTTTTAACAATAAGGTAGTCAGCCTGTCTCTACCGATATGGAATTGCTCCTCACTAATCAAAGACTTAAGCTCTAAGTACTGAATGTGTCACCCCCTTGAGGATATGTCTCCTAGACAAGATCACTGCACTTGTTCTGATATGGAATCTCCTGCTATTTCTAGTCCTCAGAGTAGTAATCAGAAATCCCAGTGAGCAGGATCTAAGATGATGTTTTCAAGAGACAAAGCTAAGGCTATGCCAAAAGATTCAGAGACCTGCCTTGGCTATATGAACGATAAGAGCTTGCCTAAAGTGCTGAAGAAGAGAAGGAGAAGTACAAGAATATTGGATATACGCCAAAACTTGCTTGAGCTGAGAAAACGTATTTTGGATCGATATGTCACAAGATTCCGCTGTTCATCCAAGAAAGCTAGAACTGTAAACAAGAAGCAACTCAGAAGAAGATCTAGATATATTGGAGTTTCCAGAAATAACAATAACTGGCAAGCTCTCATCAATGTCGGCCAAGTCAAGAACTACATTGGCACATTCGCAGACGAGCTCGAAGCTGCCAGAGCATACGACTTGTACTCAGTTGCAATAAGAGGCCAAATGGCAGCTCTAAACTTCAACTACACCTCTCAACAGATGCTGGAAAGGATCGATTATTACATTCTCACAAATTCTAATACAAACTATTAACTTCTCTATCATATTCGCATCCACTTTTTCTCTTGCAATAAGGTAATCATGTCCTGGGGTTTTGGGGTTTTGGGGTTTTGGGGTTTTGGGGTTTTGGGGTTTTGGGG